CAGTTGGAATTCTGAACCCTTAACTCCATCTCTGAGTAGCTTTAACATCTGGAAAAGATAGCACATTTTTACTGACGTTTTTCTCCTCTATGTTTAATGCTGTAGAAGTACTTATATTCCCAAATTTTGTCTCAGTAAGTTCACTGTGATGAGAATAGCAAGGGAAGAAGCTGGCACACTCACACTAGATGCGAGCATCCGTCTGAGTGGGAGAAGGTTGCTACCTGGCTCTGCATTGGTTCTCCATTAGAGTGGCATGAGAAAAGTGATGCTGATGACTGCATTTAACCAAATCAGCAAGACTGGGTATTGGTGTTCCATCATTTGTCACCAGCAGCTGGCATACGTGAACAGTGTAGGTGGTTTTACCATGTATCAGGCAAACAAAGGTAACCAAAGTTTTTCTTCTAAAGAGATAGGGACATCTAGGTATCTACAGAGACAGGCATCACACCCCTCCACAATAACACAGGTGATTATTGCATAAATAAGGTAAATCTGGATATATTTTATTATTCATCCCTCTTAAGGAAAGGGAGAAAGCAATTTTAGCTTTTTTAGATTTCACACATTTTCCAGGTATTTTTTAGCTTCACCTCCAAAATTTTCATGTTTTTATCCTCCCTTACTTTTTCTAAATTGTGACTCAAACTCTTCAAATACAGGGGGAAAAAGACCATTCCTGTAGAGTTTTTAGCACAACTGACCTTATGAGAAAAACATGCTTTATGGTAGTCATCCCAAATACCCCAGTGTGTCACAGAATCTGTAGGATGACACTTTGCAACACAGCAAAGCTCCTGGAAGGTTCCAAGCAGATTTCTCAAAATCAAATGATTTCTTGTCTGTATTTAACATACGTGTGTTTTACAGATATGCTCCAAATAATTGCCCTGTGTGCTTGTGATATTGCATTGGTTTTAGTGATCAGAATGCTAAATTCAGGAGCTGATCACCGTTTTTGGCACTTTTGTTAATTGAATGAAACCTCTGACGTTTTCCAAGTTTGCATAACCCTGACTTTGTCCCATTATGAGCTCATTCTCAGATGAAACACAGTTCACGACACTTTAATGTGTTAACTTTGCTTCATGATATTTCCTACCAGTGTTTAATTTCTTCTTTAATAGACCAGAGACTCCATGTCCACACAAGTCTTTAATAAAGAGTTTTCAAATTCTAAAGACACTACCTTGACCTTTACTGAAATCAAAAGTACAGAGAAAATTAGGATATTCATTCCAAAAAGTCCTTTTTAAAGTGAAATTTTCCCCAATAGAAGGTCAAACTTTATTACCTATAAAATTAATACTGTGTCCATCAAATTTGCTCTTACGCATTTTTTCAATTATGTTTGGGAAGGTACAGGAACTGTTTAGATCAGAAGTAACATAATTCATACTTAATTGCCTTTCTCTGCAGTTAATTTGATAATGCTGAAAAATAATATGATAAAGTTAAAAAAGAATATCATAAACAACTAAATTGTTTCCTGCAGTGGAATGACTCAATTTTCTATGCTCCATTCATGATTACTGTCCTACTGGTAAAGAATAGTTTTGTGATTTACTGAAAAAAGATAAAGATGTGATGGGTTTATATAAAAAACTACCAAGCATGAAGCTCCTGATTTCACTTCTGACAGAAATCTTCAACATTTTACAAATAAGAAAAATGCCCTGGCACTCGTCCCCTGCGCTGAAGCGTAATAACAAGAAGCCAATGCCTGCTGAATCCAGTGACAGATTCTCTACCGACATCAGAGAGAGGGTATGAGAAGAGCAGCACCGTGAGGTTTGTTTCCAGCTGTCTCTGCTCTTCACCCCGATAGCACACAAATGTAAGGTTGTTTTAAAAAGAGGTGGTCAAGGAATACAATGGGACAACACTATCTTGTTTGTAATTATATAAACTCTATAGGTCATGAATACTGGTAGAAAATAATCTATTTACTGGTTTAGTGTATGATTAAGGTCTTTTAGCAAGGTCTAGGGTCCAACGTTTTATTTGATTTTAGAACCTTGCCTTATTATAAATACTGTTAAAAATCAGCGCACGACTCACAGACACCTTCCACGGTAAGCATTGTGTTTGCAGTCCCTTATACTGACGTTAAAACTGCCAAGAGTCCTGGTAGTGCTGTCAAAAACTGAACCTGGGGGAAGATGGATTAGGCATGCCCATGGTGCCAGGAGGACAGGCAGACCTCTAACTGAGCCGGCGTGTCTAGGGAGCCTTGCAAGCAGCAGAGTGGTGCTGGGCCTGGACCGAGGGGCTCTGTGTTAGGCTTGGAGCTGCGCTGGGTACCGATGCACACTGCCGGCCTGGGCAGCGGACATTATCTGAGCTCTTCTATATTCCCCAGTTGAGAAAAGGAAAGCCTATGGCAGCTCAGACTTCCTAGTGCATGCTCCAACGCAGCTCAGATTTGACGTAGAGAGAAGATGATAGGCCAAAGGAAGGAATAGCCTACACCAAATGCTTTTGAAAAAAGTTCTCTCTGATTAAGTATGGTTTTTTTTTTTCTCTCCTGCCTTTTCACCCCACATCTGTTAGCCCAAGCAAATGACTTGCTCTATTGGAAATACCTGTGAATTTTCAATTTACCACCCTATCGCATTTGGCGATTCTTAATCCTGCCTCTGGCTGCCCTCTCGCATAGAAGTCCTAACCCATATTGACTAGTATTAGATAGGCTACACTTACAAACCTGAAGAAAGAGATGGCTTTTACCTTGCAGTCTGTGGACAATGCTGTTTAAAAGAGAATGCATACTGTTATGTTCAATCTGATTTTTTTTTCTTTTTAAGTTAACATAGCCGCCTTTTAACGTTGTGAAAGGATTCTGTATTCATTTCATATCACTCTACCACACTTTAGCTTGTCATCTAATGTAATATCCCTTTTCAAGACGGACATTAGCAATGATGGCTAGAGAAATGAAGTGGGTTTCACAGCTTTGTTAGTTAGCATTATCAGTGGCCTGGAAATAAGTTGGGGAACACCTTCCAGGGATATTACGAGTCCTGGCCATAACCGCAGGGGAAAAGGCAGAGCCCAGATCTACCCATTGAAATCCATTATAAAACTTCCTTGGCTGCTTTAGTCTCTAGACTGTGACTTCAGACTGGCAGCGGGTACGTGCAAAGACAGCGTGGTTCCCTCTGCGGGTGGAAGCAGCCAAACCACAGGCGGGCAGCGTGCGAGCCGACGCTTGCCGGCCTTACAGCGGGGCCTGCCCAGAGCAAAGCGCTGCTCCCCAGCAGGCCCCAGCACCGCGCCTCGCAACTCCCACAAATTCCACTCTTACTCATTTATACAGACCAGCAGATAATTTTTCCAGTTACCAACCACCTCTAAGTTTAATGTGTTTCGGAAGCCCTTTGGTAATTAAGCCAGGGGTGATACAGGCCACAAGGTTAATATCAGCTATTTAAGTTCTGCTATTTATTGCCACTTCCACATGTGGCTGAGCTACATACAGTGAAGTACTACAATGCTCCTGAATGATCATTATTAACACCTGAGCATGCCAGTACTAAATGCACACATGTGGTTTCTAATTACTTCATTCAAAGAAGTCAATAACGTTGGAGTAGATTAGCTCCTGCGCTAACGCTACTGCAGAATTACAAATAAACGCAATAACAACCGCTGGAATTAGGTGCTGACTCAGTACCTCAACTGCACAGGATTCCCTTTCTCTAACCCACGTTACATATCTTCTCTTGCTCTGCCATTCAGCGCACAGACACCTTTCCCCGGTCTCATTTTTCCAGAATGGAAAAAATCCAGGGAATTAAGAGGGGTGACCTAGCAGTGAGATTCTTGGCTTAGAATAGATGAGCAATGCATGTTACTGCCCTAAGTGCCACATAAAGGCATACCCAAATTCCACTTTCATTCAGACTGGTTTCCACAGCTGGAAATATTCAGCTTCTTGTTTCATCTATTCTCTTTGAGGATATTTGACTCTACCTTTAAAACATACGCAGCTTCTCCTTTTGATAATCCCTCAATAATACCAGCCTGAGTTTTTACTTTCATTGTAAGATGACATTTCCCAGTTACCAGATTTTACGATGTATTTAAAAAAACTTCATCCAATAGCAAGTAAAAGACAGAAATAAGTTGAGCACTACATTTTTCCATGGAAATTTCCTAAGTACGTATATGAATATATAAGTAAATCATCATCTCAGCAGAATTTTTTTTCTTTTATACTTAAGGCAATATTTTCTTTTTTCCTGTCAGGCCCTGCAAATGTTCCCTGAGTCATGTGGTTACAAAAATGTAGAATTACCCTCCTAAAAAGAACATTTTACAATTCATCACCAGGACTAAACCAGCTGCAGCTGTGAAAAAGTGTTAGCATATTAGCTGTTATATTACAGGCAAATCTTTTATTTATTTTGTGCCTTTAGCTCTGGAGATTTGGAATGTTCAGGATTTTCTCTTTCTTTCTCTTCTCCAAAGTCACTCACTGAATTTTACTAGCTAGTTAATTTTGATTATATTTGACAGAAGGAACTTCAATCCACACAATATGTAAAAAATATTGCATTTTAACAAGGGTTTTTACTTATGTTTTTATTGTCATTGTATTGAACAGAATAGAATTCAGCATATCAGGGATGAGTTGTTATTGGTATTTAGGTGCCTTAGGCTTACTAACTGCTCAAATATTATGAAGAAATTAACTCTGATAAAGATGATTTATTACTTTCCAAGAATGTGCAGAGACTATTTGCATCTAGCCTCGAGATCTCAGTGTAGGAATGAATGGGTGAGATGTAACCTTAAATCAAAGCTGGTCTAAGTTTTAAGTTAATTCCTTGATTTTCTGTTTGTCACAATGATCCCTCATACCTTTAGGTGGCCACCTAGAAAAGTGCTGAAGCGTATACTTAACTTTCCACATGCACCTTTCTGAACAGAAAATGTCAAGCAGGAAAAAAAGTCATATACTTTAATGAGTCTGATCCATAATAGTTACTCACCACTGTCTATTGCCAGAAAGAGAGCAGTGTATACGTTATTCTGAACGTATGGAGATTCCCGATCCAGGATAGCAGTGGTGCCAATGGTACCATTGGTGGGGTTAATTTCTAGCCAGCCTGCCGGATCCTTGTAAACTGAATACCTAAATAAAAATATAGAAGTTGTCAATAAATTATATATCTAGACATTAAAAAAAATTACATTACTGCAACAGAATACCTCTTTGCACTCACGGGCTTTCACAGGATGGATCTTAATACTTAAAAAATACAATTTAAACCTTCTGCCTTCCCTTTGAGATAGTTCATTATTGTTTGGCTTATCTGACGGGATAGAGAAATAGAGAGAGGTTTCAGCCAATTTCTTTGGCTAAGTATGTCCCAAAGCTTAGTACACAAGTCAATATTTAAAGCATTATGTAGGACCTGTTTCCTCCTGCTGTGTTATACAGCCAGAGTACCTGAATGCCTTCAGTGGACCTCTGCATTTACTGGTATTTACAGACTTCATGAATCCCTTCACAGTCCTCCTTTTTCCAGACTCAAAATCCTGGCTGGACTAGGAGTTATATTTTTAATTTATTTTTTGAGTGTTTTTCATTTCTTTTCTTACAATTAGTTATGTTGGGTGAGGCTGGAAATGTAATGAATTGTGGGGTATGGTAGCAAAAAGAGAGTTAGACTGTGGATTCGTTAGGTCTAACTGGAGCTGGTTATATGCCGACCTGGTTTGCATGCATTCGTTTGTTCTGCACTCAGTGATCTGTACTTTTCTGCTTCTGGAGATTTCAAATAGATGCTCAGAATGTTGGAACAATTCAACCACATATGTGTTGTCTAAATAAAGATTTGAAAATGCTGTCGGTCAAGAACCCTCAACACAAAATTCACTGTTGTGCTTTCTTTGCATTAATTGGCACAAATATTCAGACCCTGATACTGGAAATATTTAGAAAGATTGTGGAGTTTATGCACTAAGAACTGCCCTACTTGACTGAAGTAATAAACATAAGAATGTTCATGAGTAAAGCCTAATTCTATACTCAGTTAAATATATTAAGTGATATAATAACACAGAGCTGAATTAACTTGTACCAATTCTCTCCCCAATGAAATGTGTTAATATTTTAAACCAAAACGCCAATCACAGAATCAATACTTAGTATAATAACCTGTTTATCTTTTTTTTTGTAGTGAATTGTTATAGGTCATAAACGGCCATACAATCTTCTATAGACATTTCAAATTATAAGTAATCGACACGAAACCTGTTATTGTTTAATGAGTATGTGCCCAGCCAGTGCCTCATAGCAGCGTTTGTCTGAAAGGTGTCGTATGTGATAAGGCTGCCCAAAATAATTTATCACTGCAACTATTTCCTGAGGGAGTAATCAAAAATAACAGATTGTTAGGGGGAAAAAAAAAAAGTAAGTAAAATGAAATAAAATGGCAGTTGCTAGAAGAGGAAAGAATAAATTGCAGGCCAACAAAGACAGACATGGTCTTACTGAATGCTTATTTCAGAGGCTTGATTTGGTCTCTTGTGCCCTCTGGAAAACGGAAAAAAAGTTGTGATTAGTTGCTAGATCCCTCTGGCAGACTGTTAAGGGATGCCCGTTATCACCGCTACCAACGAGGGGGCAACGTGTGTCTGTCCTATCTGGCTGCCTCTCACCCCTCAGTCCCATATAACTTGTGCGTTTTCACTGTCCAGTTATTTTGATCAGGCAGAGTTTGAGAGCTTTGGATTTTTGCTGGGATCCCCGAAAAGCTGAGCAGAGCCACAGCTCTGAGCTGTCAGAAGTCTGAGAGGGCCATTAGCATCATTCATGCAGCAAATTTTACTGTGTTTGAGCAGTAGGTCTGATCATTGGCCGAAGGTAACAGGAAAAAAAAGCAAATGACTTAGTGCATGGCTCAGGCTTAACTTCTGTCATTAAGACTGTAAGAGACTATTGACTGAACTGAGGAACAGATCTCTTCCATCCCTCATCCCAGGAACTTACCCTCCAACATTTGAAATAATGCCATGGGAAGGTGTCATTAAGCAAAGATGGGGTTTTTTTTCCCCTATATAAGTTCGGAAAGCTTAGAACAGATTTGAGTTATAATAGCCTTTGAGTAATACATTTTGGGCACGGACACCATACTATTCAGCAG